CCCAAGTTTGCCGGGTTGAGCTGCAGGCGCTTCAGGGAGGTTTTAAGAGTATCCTTGTAGCGCAAAGCTAGACTTCCTTGTGGGAGTGAACCCATGACGACATCTTCTTAGAAGAATCGTTTGAGTAGCCTCCCGTCGTCCACCCGCACGAGCTGGCCGCCCCAGCGTATTTGTATTTGCTTCAGCGCAGCGTAGGTGCCGTAGTGTAAACGGCAATTAAATCCACAAACAATTATAGATGCTAAACTCTAGGTAGGGGATGCTGCGCTTACAACAAAAATAACGATAGCAAAAAGAGCGTAAGAAAAACGACAAGAGGTAAGTAATTCTACATGTAGTGTTAAAATTGAAAGCTGGTCGAAACGTTTCCTAAAACAACAAGGCTGCAGAAATGGTATTCAGTTAAAAGAATTGGATACCTCCAAAAACCTAGGTGTCTAAGTAACTTTGAACTTGCCGACTACAAAATATTGCAGGCGATTCGGCGAAAATACTCCGAGGATCATGCATTAGTTTATAGGCTGCTGGATGGACACTGCTCCCACTGAGCCCTGTGTTCTCTTATCTCCTGCGCCTCCAGCTTCCCTATGCTCTCCGTGTTCCGCCGTCTTCGCTACCCAAAGCCATCTTTCAACTCTGCTACCGCAGCACACGTCCAAGTGTATTCACCCCTACCTCCGGGCTATGTCAGAGGATGTAGACGTTATGTTCGTTTTCCTGGCCATATTGCTACTCGTGCATTTTATATATGTGCAATTCCTTTGTAGTAGCTATACTCCACCTACGGTCTGGTCGGCGGTACTAAGGCGGTCCGCCCTCGCGGTCACTATTGCCACCACTTACCCATGTCACCTTCAAACCGTATATGTTGCCTCCTCAATTCACCGCTTGAACTGCTCTTGACTCTGAACCAGCGTAGCGAAAACGTGATGTCATAAAGATGACAGCAGTTGCCGTTTAGCTAAACTCCGGCAAGACCCGGGCGTGCGCACACGCTTTTGCACTGATTCCAACAAAGCAAACCGGCGTTTACTTGGGTGACGATAAAAGATATGCCAAAAACCACCGGACAGCTTCTACACGCTTAAGTCTCAATACACCTGGCCTTACTTACTCTGTGTTCCCAGTCTGTTGATTTTGGAATCCTCACATTGTTGGCCTATCGCATTTTGCATCGTCATATTCCATGCCCAATACGATTGGTCATGACAATGGAGAAGCCAGTAAGCAAAATGGGTTTTTGACTTAGCATGTTTACAAGATTACCGCTTGATTGGATTTGCTGAATCACTTGTGGTGGTCCAGGGGCTTGTTACCTTGGCAGGCTGTATCGAGTCGATTACATATTGCAATATCGGTTTATCTGAGTGAATGACTAACACAGTTGTACATGTAACAAAATTCTTGTGCCATATCACAGAGCTTGGTTAGACTGTAATTATTCTTGATTAAATGGACTAGGTTTCCGCAAGCGATTCTGTTCTGCAGTCGCTGATTTCACGGTGAAAACATGCGATCTCATTGTTGCTTATATGTCCGGAACATGCCCGAACTGCCATGTTCCTCCTCTTCCTCTCACTCCTCCTCCCCCTTCTCCTCTTGGGTGATTGTACGTACACTGGACGGAAACCAGGGACAAGGCTAACGATCTTTTAGTTGCCTCCCATCTCCGCACCTTGAGAAGGAAGAGTTCGCGGCCCGCATTTTCAGGTAGCCGCTTAAGTACCGGTCTCAGTGGTACACAGTTACTTCACAGCGAAGAGCTCAACGGAGGGAGGGTGCAACGTCGGGACTAAAGCAATTGACGGTTAAATAGCTGCAGGCGGTTTACAAGGGTAAAGACAATTAATTCAGAATTATTTAGCTTACGTAGGATAAGTAGACACAGCCACAAGGGACGCACGATTAACGGACTAACGGATGAGAAACATGCACACATCTAGGTAACTGAGTAAATAAAAAAAAACTGAGTAAATATAAAACCCTAAAGTATAAGCTCATAAAGGGGACCTACTTCGGCAGTCCGATTCATCCAGCCAAAAAATTCGCCATGGTGAAGAGCGAAATCCAACTCTCTGACGATTTTAAAGGTCATAATCATGGGTTTCTTTTTCACGATAAGCACTGTACAAACTAGTTTAACTATGACGAGCGGACGGCAGAGGTATTTTCGTCTAGCTATGGATGATAGCTGATCAGGCATCTCATTCCGGGTTAACAGACAAGTGTTGATTCCATCATTTTTGAGGCATCAATCAGCATGGCTATTCAGTTTGTCGAGAAAGAAACCCTTGCCGTAGTTCTGAACATCTGAGACCATCACATCGTCACCAACCCAATTTCGATATATTCTAGGCATTCTTGTGGCAGTTTAATATTTTTAGATAACTTAATATCCTTCGGGAACTGGTAGATCGGAATCCGGTACCCCGAATAAACAGGTCTAACGCGAAAATCAGTCTGTAGATACGATTGAAACTAATTATCGTGGTGTCAGAGCCGACAACGCAGTATTGACACGTTCCCCTGTGATGTTCCCCGTTTTCATCCTCTCTTTCTTTCTGACTTCAAGGCTTATTGACAATGCGAACTGTTTCCCTCAACGATTAACTTTTGAACTTCCTGATAAAGAGACATTTTGTTTCTCTGAGGACTTGGAGAAGGCAGAATCATACGAATTAATGGTCCAAGTCCTCAGTGGCGGTTCAAATGATGTTGATGTCGTCATTAAAGATCCAGATCAAAAAGTAATCTCGGAGAAGTCGAAGATCACTCATGAAAACATAAAGTTTTCGGCAACCAAGTCCGGAAGTTTTTCTTTCTGCTTTGGAAACCAATTTTCCTCTGTGTCACACAAGGTGGTATTATTCGAGCTTCGTTCTCAGGATTCTCTTCTCGAGGAGGCCGGTTTGCCCGCCCCACCCCCCGGCCCCCAAACCGCGCTCCAGGCCCTTACGGAACAAATTCACGAGCATTTGTCTGTAGCTGAGGATTATCAGACAGAGCTCCGTGCGAAAAAGATGTCAGACCGTCTGTTTGTTGTCGACCTCATGGACCACATAACCCTTTGGAGTGCAGTGGTGTCCCTCCTCATCGTTCTAACGGTCTTTGCACAAGTTACCATTCTGAAGGGGTTTTTCAAGGATAAGAAGTTAGTTTATTCTTCTCGCACCTCCACCTTTTAACCTTTATTCAGCCACTTTATGTTCCAATTCAACTTAACTTTGTCCCCAGGCCTGTGATCGCAGGACTACCCAGCCGTGCTACCACTGTTCGTTTACGAATTTCGCATGTACATAATTCCTGGACTTTATCTTGCCTTTTAAAAGTATTCTTTGGATAGACGCCCAGATCGGTGTCTGGATACGTTTATCAGAATGCCCACCGCACGACCGAATCGGTCACTGGGTATATCTTTTGAAAATATAGTACATGGGCCTTGCCCACCATATTTCCGTTTAGTTTATTCGTTGGAAATAACTAGAAATGCATAAACTTGCCTTCCTTAATAACCTTTTTCCGAGACTATGGGTTCCACACCCCACACGACGCAATGTTCTCATGGCTGGGGATATAAATTCGGCGGTCGTAAACCGCGTTGACAGTAATTTGCAGTGCTGTTCTGCCATTGCATAAGAATTCTTATGCATTCTACAACAGTTTTTGGCTCATTTCCTTTCGACACTTTTACCCTCGGACATCTCATAGTAGTCGCTATTTATTTTGGGGATAACGAAATTATCCCTCTCCATAGAGGGTAATGGCCGAATATAAATTCCGGCGAGCTGAGTCTACCCCTTAGCGAAGTGCTGGGTCCTCCGAAGCCATTCCTAAGGAACAACCTTATCTGTTTCAGAATTGACCCGGATGTTATGGGTTAACCGACATAAGTAGGAGTAAGAAGTCACTGTTTCTAGGCCTTCGTCTGCATTGAATTCTTAAATTTCGCTTTTACACGTGAAATTGTTTTATCAGGCCCCGTTGCCAGCATGGTTTTGGGAATTGATTAATCAGGCCTCCACAGAAAAGTTGTACCTATGACCGGAAGTCAGGGCTCGTCTCTGAACTCCCTCAATTACCAACATCGGTGAATAGGAAGGGTGGACGAAAGTAACTGTCACCAGTGCAATAAGATCACCAGTGGCGGTGATCCTAAGGGATATCCGGTCTTGCCCTCCACATAGCTGACGGAAAAGCTTCGTTCTGCTTTGCCGAGCACATAATTTAATGTCCCCATGCCATCTGTCGGAGTTTGACCTGCACATGCAAATCTTGTTGATACGAGATCCCACACGGGTGACGCACAAGAAATGTCCTCTAAGTAACAATGAGTGTACGAGAAGGAACATCTGCGCCAAGGAAGAGGGGGTTCATTAACACACACTTCCCGAGTAGTCCCATAAGCAAATAACCTGTAAGGACTTCCGAGGTAGGGCCGCGATCGAAAGTTCGCCTATGTCTGACTTAAAAAGGATAGAATTATGCCAACAGTGGAACACGTGATCGATAATAAGGACGAGTTGGGGCACAATCACGTCATTATGTGATAGTTCGCGGCTCGTTGTGTGATGTCCATTCAGTCAGCAGCTCGCCGACCCCGATATTTCTTTAGCATGTGTCTGACCATGAATACATAATAGGCTACTGAAGTTAGTCCAAAGAATTCTGCACCAAGGCATTCGGTTATTTTGTGACAGCAACATAAGCAGGTCTGGGAAGGTAACTTGGTGGGTGAAATAAGACTGTTAATCGACTTCGGGCGGTCGAAACATGATCAAGAAGACTGGGTGCTCGTTTCTGCAGGGAATGACGACTTAGGGATCATATGCCGATTCACAGATCTTTGATAACCACGGAATGCAGACCCCATTCAAACAGCTGTACCGGATGGCTCACAAGCATGAATTCTCAGGCACGGCAATGCAAACTGTATCTCCAAAACGGAATGTATATGTATACATAGAAGGAATACAAAACTAGCTCAATGCGGTGCGAGACGTTCAATGCGTCAGTTTATAAAACAAACTCCAGTGTCGAGCTCTGGAGTCTGGGACATCAGGATCGTAGAATTCAGCCAGTTCTGCTGATATCGAGGCGGCGAAGTGCTGCTGCCGGTACTGAGCGCTGACCAGTTCAGAGTTTATCGGTATCTCTTCGTCCCACGGCAGTGACTTGGGTCGCTTGTAGCGCCGTAAGAGGTCGACCAGTTCCTGTGACCAGCCGGGGGTGTTGGTCCGTCGACGTTCTTGTTTAGTTAACCAGAATAGAGTGCGAGAGAGCTGCCTGATTAGCGGTTCACCCAGATTTCTTGTGCAGAAAATGTACCTAGGAGGAGACGGTGAAGACAAGAGGATAATCCAACTGTTAACTTCTTTCGAGCATTCTATGCTCCGGTTTATGGAAACATCAGAGTACGTCCTACTATCGGTCGTTTTAGCATCGGCTGATGCGTGCGGTAGGTTTTCGCGTCACGCGCCCTCAGCTTTTGCTAGTCAGTTACACGCGCCACACGTGGTCGATCAGTGTAGTAGTTTCATCTGACCTGCCGAGATGTTTGCAGAGTTTGCCCTATCTGTTGAACGTTAGCCGACTTGGCCAGCGTGCTGCTTTTGCATGAATTAAACTCATCCCTAGCATTTGTTAAGATTTCGACTTTTAAATTGTTCGATTTCGCTGTCGCAGTCGTCATTTTGCGTCGAGGACGCTACATAAGTTTTGGCGTCGTTTGGTCGTTGAAACATATGAGAGCAAAATACCTGGGTTAACTCCGTCTGCTGTCATTCTTACAGTTAACTCGCTGAAGAATGCATAAGTGACACCATTGTTATAGGTGTTGACAGTTTTAGGAAGAGCGGATGACCCTGGGGCATTAAATAGTGCACCAGAAAGGCGGCTCCTTATTTAAGTCAGACTTATGCATGAGAAATATCGAGGGCGCGCGAAATCAGAAGACGGTCAACTGGAAATTTGTACGTCTGTACGTCAGACAACGTGTGTTGGCGGACCCTGTTGGAGTAAACAGGGATACTGCTTGCCTACATTCTTCGCTCTTCAGAAACAATCCGCATTCAAGTTGACCCTGGATAATTCATTGGGTAGAAAACATGTAAAAGTAGGCTAGGGAAGTACGGAGCGTCTTTAGCGCTTAGTAATTGCTAGATATGATCAACCAAGCCATACATACTGCCCCTACATCCGTGAGAAGTCAAACATCTGCACTAACCATTGGAAAATGGGTGTGACATGTCCTAGGTGCTGGGGTTCATAGGAAACATATGCCTCCAGAAAACGATAGATAAAAAGAAGAGCTTGCCTGTTGAGGTGGTGCAGAGCAATTAAGCTGAGAATCGGTTGGCGCTGTGGTGAGACTATGCCTGAAGAAAGGGCGCTAGCGTAGGCACATAAGACGGCCTCGTCCGTTTCCTCGGGTTCGAAGAGACCGTTAAAAAACTTCGGGGGCAGGATGAACTAAACCAAAGAAAGAATACTAGTTACGCAGGATTAAGTTCACTGGCCTAATCTGTCTCCACCTCATGTCTAGTGCTCGCAGACAGTCGTATAGGAATGAGGAACTAATAGTCGTGTGGGCTCGTTTATGGCTTAAATGTTGTTTTATTAATAAGGCACGAACTATGAGGGGGTACACTGCCGCTCGTCCCAAGTATCCCCCTACCGTCATGGGCGTCCGCCTCGCTGTGTCCAACCACACCGCAACACTGATTTAGACAACAGCCGACTCAAAGGCGCCCTCAGTTGGAGCTAACTGGCTCGAACTTAGGCGAACCCTCCATCGTGCCTCCTAGGCGGATGATGTGCACGATAGCCATCGCTACAAGAACTTGCTCCCAGATGTATTTATCTTACCGTCTGGCATACAAGAACTGCACACCCTCGTGGAGATCAGAATTTTAGCAGTTGGTCTTAGAGCAGGCTTACTGCATGGCATGACAGCAACTACTACAGTCAGACTGCCAGAGATCTTGTGTGCATCAACTAACGGTGACTTTAAGAGACGTAGTGGATTCCGAAAAATGGGCCAGACTACTAATATGTCTGTTTTACCAAAGACCAACTAAGGTGTGCAGTCGTAACACTAACAGAGGCTGTGTCGGTGGGACAAGCATTTCTTTCATTCTCTTAACTCAGTAATCACTCTCGGATTGAGGGCAACCTGGTATCTGAGTATAACTGTGACTGCGGGGCACCATCCACTGAGGAGATGCTTGATGCAACAGCGATGCTGAGGAACAACAAGACACCTTGCACGGACAGCTTCGCAGAGGGTCTACAAGTTCTGTTCGATCGTGATAGTCGGTCAGTTATGGGTCTTCTCAGCCAACTTTTCGAAGGGGCCGTACAGAGAAGTGGTGTTGTCGCTGTATAGATCCCTAAGAAAGGTGCGTGTCGGTCTAGTCGGGCATCTACGGACTCAGAACACCAACAACTCCACCTACTGCCTCCACAAACGCCCCCATAATCATCCCTGCCACAACCGCCCCTCCCACTCCCGCAACCCGTGATAACACTCCCGACGCCGCTCACAACGACCACCCTCACCACCAGCAATATGGACTCGGTCCCAACCTGTCCTCATTGCGATCGGGCATTCACCTCACTCACCGGCCTGGTTGGTTACTAGCGAATCCATCGCATTGTGACCATCGAACCAGTGCTATGGGGCCCAAACATGTATTCTCGCTGCATCCGTCGCCACTACTCACGCACTTCCATTCACCGCATGAGTCCATTCGGCCATATGCATACCCACGGCAGTGGAATTCAGCGTCATATCGACACGCCAAGCACATCAAGCAACTCTCCCAGTTTCAGCGCCTACGCGGTCACCACTAGCGGTAGCATCACCGCAATCGACTCAGGAGCTCTTAGCCTATTCTGTCCACAATGACACCGCACATGAACATTACGCGTACGTCTGATGAATCCACGACACAGACTGGCGAGCCAGTGCCTGGAGCACCAAAATACACTCGTCGTCACCGCAGACTTGACCATACATGCACAAAACCTGAGCGTGTCCAACATCACACCCCACAGGCACAAACTAGGCACCTATCACGTAAGTGGGATGTGTGTTCTTCGACTCCTCCACGTTGCCCCTCTGCTGTAGGTGAGATCTGAATAGTTCGTTTCATTTTTATGAAATCCCGATATGTTGCGTAGGGGGTCAAGTCGTGTGTGTTCGGCGCACGCAAACGAACCGTTCTTCGTCAGCCACCTCTCCCAACCACAGTATCAGTTACCTGGCTGGCCCGAACAGTCGACTGGTGCACGGAGAAGTGCACAGAGAGCGTGGTCGACTCAACGCATTTTTCTCACTATAAACAATCTTACGCGCTAGATACTACCACGGTGCGTCAGAGGCGTGGCTTGGAAGTTTTCCAATCGACGGACCAACTTGGAGCTCGCAGTCAGTCCGGTGTGTTTGTGTTGAGTGGCCGACTGATGGACAAAGAGTCAGACTGCAATGGATCCTTCCTACTGTGGCCTTTATGGCACTCCCACTCAGATGCGACCCGAGTCGGCTCCATGTTTTGTGAAATTCTGGCCGTTTTGTGTGAACCCGAGGGTGTGGTAGTAGGCCTCGATGGGGATTTACGCCGCGCCAGTCGCCGGCGGCTTCTCCCGCTTTCGGTCTTCTTGACTGTTATGACACCGAGCACAGGTGGGGGGGGGAGAGCACGGTAGATGCTGCACAATGCTACTATCACTATAAACTAATTCACGCACAAGTCACCGTCCCTGCGCCCAACCTGTTGCGGCGCACAAGGTGGACACCGTCGGAGTCGACGGTCGGACTGTCAAGAATGAAAACGGACTGCTGAGTAAAAGCCGTCGTAGCAAATGCTATATTACCACTGCTGATCTGCTCAATGGCCTCTGCTTGTGCTGTGACACGCGGCTATCTGCCGAGGTGGAGTTGTGCCTATCAGTACTCCTTACTTCGCCAGGCTCTCTAGTGTCTCCGATGTTACCAACAGCAACAGCCCACTTCCATTTGATGCTTTGATATTTCTCATCGTCGTTCCCTAGCCTCAATCTCACCTCCTCAATTGTCAGTGGCAAAACTGGGTCAGGTCGACCGTACGCCCCATCGGGCTCAGTGGCTGATATTGCCTAAGGCCGTCCTTCAGGTATCCAACACGTGTTTGCCTCCGACTTAGGTCTGATGCAACACCACCCGATTTCAGAACTAATGCGCAGATCTATGCGTGTTACAACACACTGTTCGTTTGCATTGTCAGAAGACGCCGGGTTTACACACTCAGGTACACTACTGAAGTAACGCTGGACAAGACACCTCCCAGCCTGATCCTCATTAATAAGACCGATTTGTCCGCTGGATGAAAAGCCTCCATGTTATATCTCAGGAGTCATAACTTAGGGAAGCGTGAGTAGAGTTATTGAAGGAAGACGACACTCAGCGTCGTAATTATTCTCACCAGCGTCTATCAGATGCAGTTCAAAAGTCAGTCAAGAGAGCTGTAGATAAAGCTTTGCGTGGTAGATAACTAGGTATTCCGCGACCATCGAAAAGTTCAACAATGCCTTGGCAGCTCAACTGTGTCCTCGGAAGACTGTACGTCCAAAGGCCTTCCAGCAATTTTACTTGTTGGGAGTGCCTACACTCCCAAAAACAAGAGCCAGCCAATCACGGGAGGCCACGTGCGTTTTCTCTACTGCGCTGTCATCTTAATCGTGGCGCCTCTCCATTGGCTTTTCCTCGCGGGCCTGATCGATCAGCATATTCGAATTATCGACCGGCTCGTCCCGAATATTCTTCCAGAAGGGCATTGGGCCGAACGCCGGCGAAGCACCGTAAGGCGTTATAAATACGCGTTACTTCCAGTTCATTTTGACTTGCAATTTCCTAATACACAGTTCGTGGTCGGTCGCGTTCACCTTCTCTGCCGCGTTGGTATTGGGGACCAGGGTCGAGTGCGCATACGCTCCACGTGCTTTCATGTACCAGGCGGGTCATAACAATTTGGCGACGCAGTTTTTCAACTACAATGGCTGACGAGTATGCAGACTTGAAGCAGATGTTGCAGCAGCAGCTGAAGCTGATGGAGGCTTTGACCGTCAAGCTATCCAATTCATCCATGGGCCAATCAAGCGCGGCTGGTGGTTCACAATCTGTTGATCACATTGCCGGCAGCATCACTGAATTCCTGTATGACCCGCAGGCCCATATCACCTTTGAGTCCTCGTACAAACGATACGAGGACTTGTTCTCTGTCGATCTGGCTGCCCAGGTCGATGCATGGAAGGTCCGACTTCTACTTCGCAAACTGGGTCCGGCTGAACACGAGCGTTATGCAAACTTCATCCTCCCCAAGAATCCCCGAGAGGTCGCTTTCAAGGACATGGTTGAGACGTTGTCGCAGATTTTTGGTGATCAATCATCCCTTTTCAACACTCGATTTCAGTGCCTGCAGCTGTGCAAACGCGATGCCGATGATTTCATCACGTATGCGGGCACTGTCAATCGTGAGTGTGGGCGTTTCCAACTCGGTTCTCTCACTGAAAACCAGTTTAAATGCCTTATATTTATCTGCGGACTCCAGTCCCCCAAGGATGCTGATATCCGGACACGTCTCCTGTCCAAAGTGCAGCAGAATAACCCTACCACACTCCAAGAGCTGGCAGCAGAGTGCCAAACACTGATCAATCTCAAGCAGGACTCCGCAATGATTCAGAACCCGGCCTCATCTTTCTCGGTCCATACGGTCACATCGACCAAATCGCATCCTGTTACACGGCCCAAGCAAGTGTACAAGTCGAGATCTCCGCCATCTCCTTGTCGGCACTGTGGCGCATGGCATTTCCACCGGGATTGCACTTTTCGCCAGAATCGCTGCCAAAGCTGTAATCAGGTGGGACACCGTGATGGGTTCTGCAAATCAGTACCGGCTTCTGGAGGCAAGCCAGCCCCCGCCACTCCTAATTCCAGGCACCGTTTCCGGCCAAAACGCAAGCCCAAACCCCAGTCCGTTGGTAATTCTCTGAGTCTCTTGGCCGCTTTCCAGCTCAATGCGTCTGGTCGTAGAAAATTTGTTGATGTCTTGCTCAATGCCCATGCAGTTCGTCTATAGTTGGACAATGCCTCAGATATCACCATCATCTCTGAGAGACTCTGGCAGTCCCTTGGCAGCCCCACGATCCAGCAGACTTCCCAGTCCGCCACAAGCGCGTGCGGTGGCCTCGTACTGCTAATTGGGCAGCTGCAATGCTGTGTGTCGTTCCGCGGTACCAGCATCACTGCGATTTGCTACATCACCAAGTCTGATCTAAACCTACTTGGTCTTGACTGGATTGAACAACTTGGGTTGGCCGATATGCCGCTCCGCGTTGTTTGCAGTCAGGTGCAGATTCTCGCTGTGCTTGCAGACCAAGCCAAGGACATTCTCCAACGCTTTGCTCCAGTGTTCCAAGAGGGCCTGGGTCGTTGCACATACACTCAAGCCGTGCTACATCTGTCTCCTGGAAGTCAACCAGTCTTCCGTTCAAAGCGACCAGTCCCATATGCAGCTGAACTGAAGCGTCTAGAGGAATTGGGAGTTCTGGTTCCTGTATCCTACTCCGCCTGGGCCGCTCCAATCGTTGTGGTTAAGAAGCCCAATGGCTCGGTCCGCATTTGTGCTGACTTCTCCATCGGTCTCAATGCCGCGCTGACGCCGAACTGCTATCCATTACCGGTTCCGGCTGATCTTTTCACCCTGCTGAATGGTGGCACTTGCTTTGCCAAGTTGGATCTTGCTGATGCGTATCTGCAGATCGAGGTCGCCCCAGAGTCGCGCGAATTGTTGACCATCAATACCCACCGCGGTCTGTTCCAATACACCAGGCTGCCCTTTGGTGTCAAGACCGCCCCGGCCCTATTTCAACAAACGATGAACGCAATGCTTTCCGGTATCCCTGGCACAGCTGAGTACCTGGACGACATCATCATCGTGGGTCGCTTCCCTGCCGAGCTGCAAGACCGAGTGTGCGCAGTACTCGAACGCGTGCAGGAGTATGGCTTTCGCCTACGGGCCGAGAAGTGCCAATTCTTCCTCGACTCCATCAAATACCTTGGATTCGTTTTTGACGCCAATGGTCGTCATCCAGATCCTGAAAACATTCGGGCCATCCAACGGATGCCTGCCCCCAAGAATGTATCGCAACTTCGTTCGTTCCTTGGCCTGATCAGCTACTATAGCGCCTTCCTACCATCGCTGCATGACGTACGGGCCCCGCTCAACCGTCTGTTGAAGAAGGATGCTCCTTGGTGCTGGTCCCCCGACTGTGAAAAGGCCTTCGCCCAGCTAAAGTCGATGCTGAGTTCAGATCTGTTGCTCACGCACTACGACCCGACGCTGCCGATCGTTGTGGCTGCAGATGCTTCCAACCACGGAGTTGGTGCCGTCATCTCACATACTTTTCCTAATGGGTCTGAAAAGGCGATCATGCATGCATCTCGCACGCTAACCCCTGCGGAGAAGAACTATGGGCAAATAGAGAAAGAAGCTCTAGCCCTCGTGTTTGCCGTCAAGAAATTTCACAAACTGTTGTACGGTCGCTACTTCACGTTGTTGACGGATCACAAACCATTTCTGTCAATCTTCGGTTCGAAGAAGGTCATTCCCGTCTACTCAGCCAGCCGACTTCAGCGATGGGCAACCATCCTTCTTGGCTACGACTTCGACATTCGCTACTGTCGTACTACAGACTTTGGTCAGGCTGACGCCCTTTCTCGCCTCATCAGCAATCAGCAGGAACCGGAGGAAGATACCGTGATTGCAGCTATTTCGATTGAGGACGGTGTGCGCCGTCAGCTATCAGACGCCATACGAGGTATCCCTGTCACTGCCGCGGACATCCGACGTGCTACTGAACAGGATCCTGTCCTCCGCCAGGCCATCACCTACGTGCAGACCTGCTGGCCAACCACTGCTCTCGCTGGCGATCTTCGCCAGCTCTTCCTCCGCCGAGCATCGCTATCAGTGGTTGACTCCTGCCTCATGTTTGCAGACCGTGTGGTGATCCCATCTTCCCTCCGACCCACTGTACTACGCCAGTTCCATGCGGCTCATCCTGGTGCCAGCCAAATGAAGTCTATTGCTCGCAGTTTTGCCTACTGGCCGGGTATCGACGGCGACATCGACGACCTGGTTCGACGCTGTTCTCGATGTCAGCAAGCTGCCAAGATGCCGCCTCGTCAACCTCCAATACCCTGGCAACCACCGGAGAGGCCTTGGTCAAGCGTGCATATCGACTTCGCTGGCCCACTTAACGGAGTCTCCTACCTAATCTTGGTTGACGCCTACTCGAAATGGCCCGAGATTGCTCCGCTGAATCCAGCAACCGCATCTGCCACTATCGCCTTCCTACGACGCATCTTTAGCCAGCATGGCTTACCAGAAGTCCTGGTTTCAGATAATGGTTCTCAGTTTATCTCGTCGACGTTTGAAGATTTGTGCCGCAAGCACAACATCCAGCATCTTCGCTCCCCGCCCTACCATCCTCAGTCTAACGGTCAGGCGGAGCGTTTTGTCGACACGTTTAGGAGAGCCCTCTTGAAAGCTCGTGAGGAGGGGACCACAGACGAGATAGTCCAGGCGTTCCTGTTTTCCTACAGGACGACACCGAACCCGGCGTCCCCTGGTGGCGTTTCTCCTGCCGAAGCGTTGATGGGCCGAAAACTGCGTACAACGTTTTACGCCCTCGTCCCTACCGGTGCGCAGCCCGCGCAGACTTCTCCAGTTTCTCGCAGCAAGCTCTCCATCGGAACACCTGTCTTCGTTCGTGATTATCGAGCGGGGTTCCCAGACTGGATTGAAGCAACCGTAGTATCGCACAGAGGCAGTATGTTGTTTGACGTCGACGTTGGTGATGACATCTGGGTTCGCCACCACAACCAGATCCGACGGCGCCATTGCAGTAACACAACTGGGCTCGATTCGGCGCCGTCACTCTCTCTCGACATCTTACTGGATACCTTCGCCATTCCGGCAGATCAGTCGGTTCCCGAATCCACTTCTGCGCCCCCTTCGGATATACCATCTTCGGTATCAGTTACCGCTCCCGTATCTCCAGGCATTAAACCACGACTAAGACGCCGGACCAACCGCGTGCGCCGATCAACACGTCTGATGCAGGTCAACCCACGCCAGAAGCGGTACTGACCTACTTGGAGGGGAGGTGTTGGGAGTGCCTACACTCCCAAAAACAAGAGTCAGCCAATCACGGGAGGCCACGTGCGTTTTCTCTACTGCGCTGTCATCTTAATCGTGGCGCCTCTCCATTGGCTTTTCCTCGCGGGCCTGATCGATCAGCATATTCGAATTATCGACCGGCTCGTCCCGAATATTCTTCCAGAAGGGCATTGGGCCGAACGCCGGCGAAGCACCGTAAGGCGTTATAAATACGCGTTACTTCCAGTTCATTTTGACTTGCAATTTCCTAATACACAGTTCGTGGCCGGTCGCGTTCTCCTTCTCTGCCGCGTTGGTATTGGGGACAAGGGTCGAGTACGCATACGCTCCACAGGATTTCACGTACCGGGCGGGTCATAACAGTACTCAAGAAACTTCGAGTCGCCGGTTTATCGTAACATGAGTGATCTGTGGCAAACTCTTGAGCGAAGCTGACTTGGTTGTCACGTCAGCCACGGAGACTGACAACTGCAGGACTAGGAGCGCACTCAGAGTCAGTCCTCCTGACGACGACCCTCATGGTTATCGTCAGCCAGCGTCGCGTTATGGCGACCACACCCAGACGATTTCACAGCAGTTGGTCGAGCCATCTCTCAAGTAATGGACATGAGAGGCGCAGTTGACAGATTACCCTCCTGGTCGATTATATAGCCGCTCGTCGGACGCGACTTCGAGGAATGCGGCGAAGACGCCATTAGGCGAATACATTCAGCCGACGGATACCTTCCAGGCGCACGGGCCATGTCTCACATCCGTACAGAATGACTGTCCTGGTGGATACTAACGGCTAGGTCTTATGAATTACCGAAGGCCGATTTCTGGGGTGTCTGTTAAGTCAGGCGCAAACCGAGCGCACCC